ATTGTGTACGAAATGTGCTATATAAATAAACTTGCCTTGCCTTGCCTTGCCTTACCTTTTAATCAATACAAACATTATGTAATCAGGTCAGTATGGCATTCTGATATTTTAAAGGATAACAAGTTTTTTTTGTTCTTTTAATGGTTGCCTGAAAAAAAATCTATTTAAAAAAATACAAAGCCTGCAACAGACTCAAATGCCAGTGATGTAAAATATGAAGTAACTATTTTCTGCAGGGATATTTAAGTACTATCCAACCACTTCAGTCCAAATCCTTTCAATGGAACATCAAAACACTGAGTTCTATGTTGTGCAGGCAAAGCGTAGAGCTGCTAGGACATCCACAGCAGCATTAGACTCAAACCGACAGGAAGCCCTTAGGTGCTGACCGAGAACATCACAATGTCGCTGCGGAGAGCTGTGGAGAGCGTGGCTTACCCTGATGAGTACTTTGTGATTGTCTGTTGCCCTGAGGTATGGCAGGGACTGTCCACACTGAGGCATTCTTCTAAGCTCCTTTATTGGGGTCCCAAGCCATTCCTGTTCTTTCTGCTCTGCTGACACTTGCTCACTGGAGAGATGGAACAAATTATTTTATTTGCATTATTCTAGTTTATTGCATAATAATAACTATATATTATTATTGCATTATTATTATTATGTTTATTTTATATTTTCATAAGACTTCAGTGATATTGGTACAATATTGGTTAATGGATTTATATCAGCCAGTATTGCATATTTAATCGCACAAGCTCATTTTGCCTATTTTTACATTTAGATTACCTCTGTTGTCATCTAACACACATTAAAAAACACACATTAATTTATTTATTTATTTTTTAATTTAGAAGAAGAAATGTTTTTTGAGCAGTAAATCAACACACTAGAATAATTTCTGAAGGATCATGTGACACTAAATACTGGAATAATGGCTACTGCAAAGTGGAATCACAGGAATAAATTACATTTGAAAGTCTATTAAAATAGAAAAATTTATATTTAACAATATTACTTTTTTAACTGATTTAAAAAATAAAAACAGCCTTGGTGAGCATAAAAGACTTCTTTGAAAATACATTAAAAAGATCTTTAGCAAATCTCATAACTTATATCAATTTTTCATATTGTTGTGACGTCTAAATTCACTTGTATCATTAAAACAACTGATTTTCAGTTTTAGTGTTTGTAATGATCAATTTCAACAAAATACTATAGAATTTCAATCAGCCATATATAAAACCAATTATTAGTAACAGTCAAACTTTTAATATCAGTGCATCTGAGTAGTCTTTGATAGTGTGGTAAAACCCTTATCTACTACAGCAATATTTACAAAAACAACAATACCTTTCTGAAGAAGAAACCTGTGTCTGGTCACTCTCAGGTTCAGTCTCAACAACATTTTCGGGAACAAAAGCACCAGCACCCGAGTTTTGCCCCTCTGTGTCATCTGTTTCCATGGGTGTCACTTCAAGTTCGTCTTTGATGTTGTCTATAGCTTCTGGATTGGGGACTAAGGGTTTGGGCTCCACCACCATTGGGTCAACACTCGAACAGGGGTCTTGCAAGTCGGGGCAGGCAGGAGAGTTGCTAGGCAGAGACTCTTTGCATGCTGGACTCTCTGTTCTCATCTCCACATCTACATTATGTGTGTTACTTGTATTTACGGAGGAACTGAGGTTTGTCCCTGACATCTCTGTAGACATGCAAGTCATCTTGACCAGCTTGGCATCTGGTGAAGTTGATTCAATTGCCTTTTCTCCATTGCTTGGCTCCATTGGAACGTGTGCATCAATAATATCAGGAGTTTCTTTATAAGTGATGCCCTTTGTGTCCTCGTCACAGTTTGGCAAAGAGGTCTGTGTCTGGTCCTCTGGTTCATCATTCTGCTCCTTACGTGTTCTTGTTGACTCACACAACTTATCATTATCTTTCATGACTGCCTGAATGCTTTTCTTGATTTCAAGGGTCTCATGAAGATCACACCCTGCATCCTCATCCTCATGGCTGTCAAAGACAAAACACGAAAAGTGCTTAATTTTTTTTTACCCATTTTAAACAACAACAACAAAACAACTTACCTATTTTCCATATTCATCGTAAGCACACTTCCTGCCAAACTACTTGCTGTAAAAAGAAAAATTTAACTTAGAACTGACATTTAGATCTTAGAACTGAAAACAAAAGCTATAGTTACAGTCATACCTACAACGCATTAGCCAGAGTAATGAAAGGATTACTGCAAAACGAGAAAGCTAGCATTTCAAATGACATTTTACTGTAAAATGTGAAGCAAATTCTTTCAAATTCTTCTCGAAAAATATCTTGCACACACGCACGCTCGCGAGCACAAACACACACACTAATCCCTGAGGGTCCCTGGTTTGGCTGAGAATCTGGGTGGGGGTCCTGTTGAAAACGCATGATTCTAACCATTATATTGTTATTACATATCATTTTATATACTACTAAGTGCTAGATCAGTGTAGATGAAACTATAGATTGGTTCAGACATGAAATGTGAAGAGATAACATTCTTAATCAGCAGTAGTATTATGTTGTTGTGAATGGCTAAGCTAGCTGAGATAAAAGGCAGGTCAGAGTTTGCATGGATTTTTAGGCTAATATATCAGAAAAATTAATGTGTGCATCTTTCAAATCCATATATTTATGATCAAATCTAGAATAGGTATTAGAATAACTCTAATAAAAGCTCAAACACGCGTCCCTTTATCTTTTAAATGAAGCCTTTACATCTCAATAAAAATATACCGCATACATTTTAATACACAATAGGTTTACGGCATTATTACTGCTAGAAAAACAACATTCTTCCTTCAGTACTTCACGCTAATATTTGTATATTAGACCGGCTGCTTTACTGTCAGTCTGTTCGCTTTTATCACGGATCAAATAATCATACTTGCTCTCTTTTTCTGCTTTGTCTTCGTATCGCTGTCAAGCTCACACACATATTCGAGCTCTTTTCCAGCAGACGGGAAAACTACACCTTTTATGCAAATGTTTGCTGCTTTTACCACACTATCAAAGACAACAAGATCACAGTGGAATAGAATGAAACACACAACAGAAAGGATAACTGGTGGAGAATGCATCAGTTCCGGGTCGTTCCGGTTCTGCTGATTGGATGGACTCTTGTCACGTGTTTGAAAGCTATTTCAAGTTCAACAGGAACCGGTTTATTTCATCTCTTACTGTTGCTTTCTCATTCATGCAAACTATGTTTTTATTTAAAGGCCACATATATATATTATTATGTATAAAATAATATCTTTGGTGGGTCAGAAATTGAATTGCAATTTAGAGTAAAAGTCCGTCAATATGTTTCTTCGGGTTCTTCCGTTGAATATTATTGGTTACGTTCTAGATTTTTATATTTAAGTAGGGGTTCTTCCTCAGCGTTTTATAGATAATCTACTATGTAACCATGGGCGTAGCTTGTGGGGGGCCAGGGGGGCCTGGCTCCCCCATATCGATTTAAGGATTTTACTAAATATTTATTTATAAAGTTTTTTCTATGAAGTAAAAATGCATATAATGCAGTTAATAATACATGTAAAAGTGAATACGTAAAAGTTAATACATTTTAAATTGTTATTGTAAGTAAATTAATAAATCAAAACAAATTTAACGTCTCCCTCAACCTCATTTGCGTAAAAATTGTCACGTGACGAATCTGCATTTTGGTGGATAATAGATTTAACGGTAATGCTTGCCTGTTGTGTGGAATAAAATGATGTTCCGCGTTTTTAACAACATACACGAACTGCAGAGAAATCTGGAGACAACGAAAAACTCCGATGAAGATATTAATGCCGTGCTTAATTATTCACCTGTGGTGCCGAAATTTGCACCCTGCCAGATTATGCACCCCCTCGTTGAA